GCCATGACCACGCTCTATGTCGGGCTTCTTCTCCACCGACAATTCGTCCCTTTGCTTTCCAAGTCCACACGTTAATTTTAATCCGCCTTCTCGTCCTCCTCCTCCTCCGCAAAGGAGAGGAAAGCGGAGGGGAGGGAAGGAGGAAAAGACGAAAAGTTAAAGGACAGAAATTATCAGTATATATACAAGGATTAAATTGGATGGATTACTAAATAGGAGTCATTGATAAAGTCATAAATAGTAGCATGCCATTTAGAATGTGCTCAATACCTCCACCTACTAAATTGCAAAAGTTACGGGTATTGCGACACTTTTTCGCCATTTTCCTTTTTTTTTATTTGTGCAGTGACCTTTATTTTTCCAGGAACTGCATTTTCTATGTTTGTCCACACAAACTGGAAACAGTGAATGAAAGAAAACCAACTGTTGCTAATAATATAAGCGTTGAAGTTCTACAAAATACAGAAAACTAGAGAACGTTACAACTGGACTGAAGCAGGTGTCATGGTTGAACAGAGGATAAAGAGGGAAGTCTGGAGAAAATGTAATAAGCTAGAATTTCAACGCCAACTCATATTAAAATCATTAGTTGCTGATTGTTGGCTCGTTAAGATCCCCCATAAAAGGAATCATCCTACCGATTTCATACAGAGGTTAGCCTCTAAAATGATTGAGGCTTGGTGTTAATGCCTTTTACAGAGCATTAATTGCACACATACATACTTAGAGCACTTCAACAATTGTCCTCTTTTTACACAAAGAGGCTCTATGCTTTCAGCATTTCAGAAACAACAAATCAAGTGCAGTCTTGTTGCTAAAAATCCCTTGCAAGTCCCAAGTTTGCTCTTTACGATGATATGCACATCTATAAACTTGATTTCGAGCTATCTTCCTGCACAATTAGAGCTTGACTGTGCGTATTGCAATTCGAGTTGCCTAAAGATGACTTTTCACTAAGAGCACGCGGTTTAAAGAAATGAAAAAAGGAAGCGAAGGAAATGTTTATTTCGTCGACGACTTTTATCGTATATTCGAATACTAGGGTGATAAAAAAATTGTTACTATGTTCTTGCATGGCGCCGACAAATGTAATTTTCGAAATTTGAGTGACATGGGAACGTCTTCGCTCATATGAAAGACTATCGCAAAATGTCTAAGTAAAAATCTTCAATAGTAACGACCACGAAAACAAGTTTACGCACACCTGCTTAAAATCACTGCTTGGCGCAATTTTCAATATTTATTCACAGGGATATATATTGGAACATGAATTGCTGATGTTCTTCTAAATATTGAGTCCACCTGTGTGAAAATTACACTTTGGCACTAGAATCAATTCAAGACAAAAATGTCCACTGTAATATTCATTGCCGCTGTTTAAAGGACCATTAAAACTCAAAGTGATAGCTCGAGGAGTGTGAAAATTGCACACACCTGCATAAGAAACATTCGATAATTCTTAGCATATGAATTGTTTATGTTCATTTCAATATTGAGAATCGAAAAAAATGTGAGAATAACTTGAAATTCACCTATGTGAAAGTTAAACTTTGACACTGAATCAAATTCAGGACGAAGGCTATTAACAGGACGAACAACTATTAACACTCAAAGGGTTGGCTCGAGAAGTCTGAGAACTCCTTCAAAAAATTGCTTGACACAAAATGCAACATATATTAACAGGGATAGTTTCTTGGAAAATGAATTGTTGATGTTTATTCAAATATGGAGAATCTAAAAAATAAGAGAAGAACTTGGAGTCCACCTGTGTGAAAATTAAACTTGTTTCTGATGATGACTTTCGCACAGGTTGTCGAAACATCAGTCACCGCCAGACAACAGTCCTACCCACGATTACACTCACCTGGACGATAGCACTACACTTTCTCATAAGTTGTTGATGTTCATCAAATATTACCAACAGGAAATGTTAGAAGAATAGACAGTCCACCTGAGTGAAAATCAAATCTTAGACAAACTGTTTCACTGAGCTAATATTCATTTCTGTTTTTTAAAGGAGTATTGGCACTGACAGTAATTACTCGAAAAGTGTTGAAACTGCGACATTGCGAACTTAGGTTGACACACGTCTTTCTTCCCGTCCAAAACTCTGTCAAATATACAACAATTGAAATTATGTGCCACACCTAGGCACATCATTTCAATTGAAAATCTAATATTTTTTCATTTTCATTTCATTTCATTTATTTATTCGCACTTTTTCAAGAGGTTAAAGTAGAGATTGCTAAAGATTACAAAAGTCAGAATATATAAGAAACAGTAAATTACATGAATAATCTAAAGTAAAAAGTGCACAGTGACCAAAGGAGCGTAAGCTTTCGAGTTGGCTACTGTCACGTGTAATTAACTGGTGTATCTTAACATTTACACAAGACTTACTTTACTTTAATTCTATACTTACATTAACCAAGGTATTTATACACTCTTCATATTGTAAACAAAGAGAAAAGAGAAATAAGTGAATAAGTAAATAAGTAAATAAATAAATAAAAATTAAGACAAAAGAAGGAAAAAGATTAAAAAAACTGAGAAACAAAAAGAAAGAATGAGGCGATTAATGCTAATTATGTACGGTAAATAAAGTGAGGTAAGATTTAATTTGAATATATCAACAAAGTTGAAATGGTAAATTGGCCACCGTTACGATTAAAAAGCTGACCTTTCGAGCGTTAGCCCTTCGTCGGAGCGAATGACTTCG